CCAATCTGCCCCAGCACAGCCTCGACCCACCACTGCAGCACTGAGTCCCATAAAGAATGCGCGATGAAGCGCGCATAGAAAAGATGATCGATGTCATCCTGACAAGTTCTTGAGCCTGCAGGCAACAAATAATTTTGCCACCTGTTCAAAAACCATGGCTCCTATCAAAAAATGACCAGACCGTGAGTATCAGGGAACCCCAATGCACTGATATATGTTGTTTTTGGGGGTTTTGTGTGGTAAATGTGAAGAGGAGAGCAGTTTGTCTAAAGTGCACTTCACTCTGTTCTGAAGAAATATCCGGATGTTTTTAACATGGGAATCAACTGGAAGCCAACTGGACTTTTTGTCTCTTCATGCCCTCAAGAGGCATTTTAAAAAGAAAAATTCCTAATCTTTTTTATTTTCCAACATGGAGAGGTTTTCCTACATTTTTCATGAAAACATATGTCTGAGGAGTGTAGGGTTTGGGAATTATGGCAAGTTTAAAACATTTTTGGGGGAGAATTTCAAGCACTGCTCCACTCTGTTTTGAGATCAAAGCACTCTAGTTAACGAGCTGCTCCATCCACTCTAATGTTAAAATCTGAAAAAGGCCTCTCTACCCAGCTCGAAACTAAATTCAATATCTCAAAAAGTTTAAAAGATATCAAAAATCTGAATAGGAATTGAATAGCTGAAGATATTGTGATCTTTTGAAAGTTGGAATGAAGTGTCTGGCTGAAATTATGTGGAAGGAGAAGCATTTGGCGCAAAGTGTAGGGAAAGTGGATTTGAAGGCATTTCCCATTGACTTCAATGTTAAAAAAAGAGTTTAAAATGCTGAATATCTCAAAAAGTGTGAAATATTTTTGAAAAAGCTGAAAGTTAGCCATTGATTGCTGAAAAGGCTGAAGAGTTTAATATTTGAATGGTTTCTGTAGCTGAAAGTAAGCTGAAGTTATGGAGAGCTAAATTGGCTGATTTGAAGGCTCTTCCCATTGACTTCCATGTTAAAAAAAGAGTTTAAAAAGCTGAATATTTCAAAAAGTATGAAATATTTTGAAAAAGTTGAAGATTTCCCATCGATTCCTGAACAGGCTGAATAGTTTAATATTTGAATGGTTTCTGTAGCTGAAAATAAGCTGAAGTTATGGAGTGCCAAAGTATTGGCTGAAATAAGGGGAAGAACAAAGATTTGAAAACAGCATTCGCACTAATTACTAAATCTGATAGAACCCAAATCACTTAAAGTGTTTCATCAAACTTTTCTGGGTGATTTGAATCCTGAATTACTATTTAACAGTGGTAATTTAAAGGAATAGAGGATTCAAAGCCATATCTAATCGTCACACATGTGTAAGATGAGACCCAGTGTTGATAACTAACTATTGGAGGGGAAAAGTGTTGGAAATTATTCGTTACCTTCCACCATTTGCATTGGCTCCTTGGCTCCTCCATGAGCCAGCATCTCCCGACGGTAGCGCTCACCCATCTCCCTGAAAAAATAAAAATAAATAACATTTCAGTGTTCAGTCGGAGCTGTGCAGGGTTTCTTAAACTTTGTTCAACATATTTGAATAATAATAATATGAGCAGTAATTGATGTTCAGGCCTCACAAGTTTTCCATATATTGCATAAAGTTATACATTTATTTGAGATATTTGTATACAATCATACTCATCAGGTTTCATGTGGATTAATATAGAAGCGACCATTACGTTTTTTAAATTTCAATTCCAACCATGGTGATGAAGAATGTATTTGTCTCTCTTCCGCCTGCATAAAACTACCTGATAGAAAGGCTTAACAAAGTATCTATATGTCTTATGTTTATTACTGAGGTTAAGGACAAGAGATAAGGAGATTTGTATAAGTCGACTTCAAACCAAGTCCCATAAGCTCCCTTTTCACCACAGACAGGTGACAGGAAACAGAGATCTGACAACAACAGGTGAAACTAAAACAATCTCAGAGGGAAAGGAAGATAAGGAGACAGCTAAGAGAGACAGAGGGAAAGCGCTGCAGGGCGGCCCCTGATAGAGAGACCGTTGAGGCATCGTTATTCCAAACAAAAAGCTTTTGTGTTATGTCCAGGGGCGAACACTTGTGATAGGGGAGTAGTGAGTGTGTGTGAATCAAAGCAGACACCAGACATGAGTATCATAATAACGTCATGTTCAATGTCAAGCGGCTAAAACAGAATGCAGGGGAGGCGGACTCCAGTCTCCAAATGCAAAACAGGTTGACATTGCACTTAAACATTGTTGTGTGACTGTTAGCATTAGCACAATGTGTAAGGTAACCACAAAGAGAATGAAGTAAGGCTGAACATGTGTGCTCCAACTTCCTTTTTTTAACCGTGCCTCACCTGTTTAAAGGATCCTGGACGAAGCACTGTTTCCACACCATGGAGGCCACGGCGCGGGACATGAGGTAGGAGTAGTATTTGGCTCCGTAGCCAATCAGGTGGCTGAATCTCTGCTGCCACGCCTATGGAGGGAATAATATATCAATTTAAAGCTACAACATGATCACCTTTGCGAAAATACAGGATGTCTTAAAGAGGACATATTTTGCTGAGGTTCAGGTTCATATTAGTGTTTTGTTTCTCTACTGTGACGTATTTTCATGATTTAATGTTCAAAAAGCTCTTTACTTTTCTCATACTGCCTGTGCTGCAGCACCTCTTTTCACCCTCTGTCTGAAACTGCCAAGGGCTCTGATTGGTTAGCTGGCCGGCTCTGTTGTGATTGGTCAACCACTTAGAGATGTCCCGTAGCCTATCACGTGCAATGTGTTCGAGTACTAGCCAATAGAAGCGCGAGTGTTACATGATGTCACTATGTCACTGAAGTAAACAAAGGGTGGGTGTAGGAGAGAAATTCCCTTTTGAGGCCTTTGCAGACCATTTACATGGACACAAACCTATAGAACACTACAGGAAAGGGAAACCCCCAAAAGGGAACATTTAAGATAATATGGATGAACAGTTTCTACAGCCGACAGGAAGTGGCAGAGCAAACCGAGGGAGAAATGATAGCAGATTTAAACTATGTGTTATTTTTTAACAATAAATCAGTGCTAGGACATTACAGCATGTAAAAGCCGTAAATGTGGGAACTATCAGTTTTAGTTCCAGCACTAAAACTGAAGTGGATATTAATGAAATATAAATCATAAAACTTTGATATTTAAACGGTGAAACAAATAGACTTCAATTTCTCAACATTTAATCACAACCTGCCAGCTCCTCCTTTAAAAAGGACCAAACATGGAAATTCCTAAATGGTAGAAAAGCCCCCTTCTCCTCTCTTCAGCATGAGGCCGCCTAATCCCCCCCACCCCCCAAGCTCTTTTATGATCTCTGCAGACTGTGGGGGAATTCAGCTGGCGAACGCTCAAACATCCAGCCTGTTTGAAAAGACAGCAGCTGCTACGGTTAACAAAACCATAACAGACTGCAGACGCCTTCCTCCGCCTTCACAGAACAGAAATAACTTGTGATGATTTATACTCGAGTTAAATAATTGTTTAAATGAAAATGATGTATGTACTGTCTTTGTGTACGCATTACCTGTGGGAAAGAAAACTCTGGTGCATGTCATTGTGATTAAAACAGTTCATTCAAAGGCATTAAAACTGTTTCTATAGGAATTTAAAATGTATAAAGCTATGATGTATTGCATTGAGCTGTTATAAAGCCATTTTAAGTCCTTCTACATTAAAGGGGACCTATCATGCAAAATGCACTTTTGTACGTCTTTTATACATGAATATGTGTCCCCGGTGTGTCAGGGACGTCACCGAGTGTCAGAAAACACAACCCTCTCTCTTTTCCTCCATACCCAAATCTCTAAAAACGGGGCTGCAACGGAGCTGATTATTATTTGAATGTTTCTGACGTCAGAAAAGGGGTGCCCCGCCTATATGGGCAACTCTCCACCTTTCAAGGGAATGAGAGACCGCTCGAAAGCGCTGGAGACGCTGTAGTACATATGCCAGGCCTGTAAGTGGCGCTGTGGTCTGCCACAAAAGCAGAATCAGCCCTTTCAGAAA